TGCCCGGAGTGGCCGGGCGGATTCCCCCCCGCTGGCCATGCCCGGAGGGGACAGGAGTGATTGCACCCGCTGGCCATGCCCGGAGGGGACAGGAGTGATTGCACCCGCTGGCCATGCCCGGAGGGGACAGGAGTGATTGCACCCGCTGGCCATGCCCGGAGGGGACAGGAGTGATTGCACCCGCTGGCCATGCCCGGAGGGGACAGGAGTGATTGCACCCGCTGGCCATGCCCGGAGGGGACAGGAGTGATTGCACCCGCTGGCCATGCCCGGAGGGGACAGGAGTGATTGCACCCGCTGGCCATGCCCGGAGGGGACAGGAGTGATTGCACCCGCTGGCCATGCCCGGAGGGGACAGGAGTGATTGCACCCGCTGGCCATGCCCGGAGGGGACAGGAGTGATTGCACCCGCTGGCCATGCCCGGAGGGGACAGGAGTGATTGCACCCGCTGGCCATGCCCGGAGGGGACAGGAGTGATTGCACCCGCTGGCCATGCCCGGAGGGGACAGGAGTGATTGCACCCGCTGGCCATGCCCGGAGGGGACAGGAGTGATTGCCCCCGCTGGCCATGCCCGGAGGGGGAAGGAGTGTCCAGCAGCAGCATTGCAACCCAGCTAGCTGCTCCTGGTTGGGACTTGTGCATTCGATTTCTCCTTCCTAACTGGGGTTCTCTGCACTCGCCCCTGGTCCTGTGTCCTGTGGCATTTCAGCCCATTCGCCGACTTACCAAGCTCGTTTTCAATTCTCATCCTGTCCAAGGTGCTGGCAACCCTTCCCAGCTTGGTGTCATCCACAACTTTTATAAGCCTATAGTACCCGACCCAGTATAGATCCCTGTGCGACCCACCTAGAAACATCCAGATCGCAGGCCCTGGTTCTCACAGGGGACTTTAATCACCCTGACATCTGTTGGGAGACCAATATGGCAGTACACAGACAATCCAGGAAGTTTTTGGAGAATGTTGGGGATAACTTCTTGGTACAAGTGCTGAAGGAACCGACCAGGGGCCATGCACAGCTTGACCTTCTGCTCACAAACAGGGAGGAACTAGGAGGGGAAGTAGAGGTGGGTGACAACCTGGGAAGCAGTGATCAAGAGATGGTCGATTTCAGGATCCTGACCAAAGGAAGAAAGGAGAGCAGCAAAATACACACCCTGGACTTCAAAAGAGCAGACTTTGACTCCCTCAGAGAACTGATTGACAGGAGTCCCTAGGATGCTAACATGAAGGGGAAAGGAGTCCAGGACAGCTGGCAGTATTTTAAAGAAGTCTTATTAAAGGCACAGAAAGAAACCATTCCGATGCGCAGCAAGAAAAGCAAATATGATAGGCGACCAGATTGGCTTACCCGAGAAATCCTTAGTGAGCTTAAACACAAAAAGGAAGCTTACAAGAAGTGGAAACTTTGACAGATGACTACGGAGGAGTATAAATATATTGGTCGAGAATGCAGAGGAGTTATCAGGAAGGTGAAAGCGCAATTGGAATTGCAGCTAGCAAGGGATGTGAAGGGTAACAAAGGTTTCTACAGGCATGTTAGCAATAAGAGGGTGATCACAGAAGGTGTGGGGCCCTTACTGGATGAGGGAGGTAACCTAGTGACAGATGATGTGGGGAAAGCTCAAGTACTCAATGCTTTCTTTGCCTCTGTCTTCACGGAGAAGGTCAGCTCCCAGACTAATGCGCTAGGCAACGCAGTATGGGAAGGAGGTGGACAGCCCTTGGTGGGGAAAGAACGTGTTAGGAATTATTTAGCAAAGCTAAACTTACACAAATCCATGGGCCCGGCTTTAATGCATCCGAGGGTACTGAGGGTCTGTCTACGCTACCCTCCTAGTTCGAACTAGCGGGGTAATGTAGGCATACCACACTTGCAAATGAAGCCCGGGATTTGAATTTCCCAGGCTTCATTTGCATAAACTGGGCGCCCTGCCTGCCTGGGAGCTTTGAGCTTCTGAGAGGAGCTCAGAAAACAGCTGTGTGGTCGCGCAGCCACGCAGCGTAGAGGGAACTATGGTCCCCTGCCACAAGTCCCCTCCCTGCACCGGCTCCTTCAGCCCCACTGCTGGCTGGGTGACACCGTCAGGCCTGCCCCGGCCCCAGCTAGGTTGCCACAGCCCCAGCTCCATCTCCACAGCCCCAAACGGGCTTCCCCTGCAGGGCGGCTCTCTGTCCCCACTGCAGGCCGGCATGCACGGGCTGTCCCCCCACCCCACTGTAGCTCCACGACCCTGCTGCCAGAGGAGCTCGCCTGGCTGAGCCCAGCAGCAGCAGCAGCTCCTCTGCTTCCACCAGCTCACTGCTGCAACAAAGCTAGGTGGGCGCAATCCGCAGCCTCCCCTCCCGCCCCCGGAGCTGTTGCTGCAGCTGAGAGGCTCGCAGGGGCAGAGGGACTAGGCTGAGCTCCTGCCCCACGTGCCACTGGCAATCGGCTCCGGGGCAGCCCCTCAGACGACCGTTCCTGCTCCTGGTCCTCAGCGCAGTGAGGGGAGCCCTCCTCTCCGGCTCCCTGGAGCCTTGTGGGGGGCCAAGCGCCTGGCGTCCGCGCGGGCAGGGGGCCCGGGTCCGGCTCTCTGGCAGCAGCCGTTGTTTCCCTGGCAGGATCTGAGTGAATTCAATGCCACAGCAGTGAAGAGCCCCACCAACACCATGACTGTGCAGAACCTCAAGGCTGGCACCATCTACGTCTTCCAGGTGCGGGCGCGCACCGTGGCGGGGTACGGGCGCTACAGCGGCAAGATGTACTTCCAGACCATGACCGAAGGTGAGATCTCTGGCAGCAGCCGTTGTTTCCCTGGCAGGATCTGAGTGAATTCAATGCCACAGCAGTGAAGAGCCCCACCAACACCATGACTGTGCAGAACCTCAAGGCTGGCACCATCTACGTCTTCCAGGTGCGGGCGCGCACCGTGGCGGGGTACGGGCGCTACAGCGGCAAGATGTACTTCCAGACCATGACCGAAGGTGAGACCGGCAGGCATCGCTCCCCCCGGGCCCCAGAGACACCCC